CGCTTTATTTTTGCCTTTCTACGGCATTCATGCTGAGATTCACGCGGGGGCCATGGCGTGGGGCTTGGATTGAGAAAAATTATATGGGCGGCTTTATGGCCAAAGGCGTTATTGTGATGCTGTGCGCCTTCGCAATGCGTCCGGACAGAGGTTGGATATGGCTCCCGCTCTGCGCATTATGCTTTGCGCTGGTATTGCTCTCAACGTCCAAGACAGCGCTTTTAATATCACTCATTGGTATAGGCGGCTTCGTTATTTTGCGGCTCTATCGGCGATATACCTTTGTCAGGCCAATTCTTGTCCTGACCATCGTTCTAATTTTCGCAACAATAATCGGGATGCTTCTGTTCGCGCCTGACTTTACCTTTGCGCTGATCGGAAAAGAAAGAACTTTAACCGGACGTACAGATATTTGGTCAGGTTTGATTGATTCAATAAAAATGCACCCTTGGTTGGGCTATGGTTACGGTGTTTATTGGAAAGACCCTCTGGGGGCGTCTTACTATGTCCGCCTGCAGTTGGAGTGGGGTATCCCAAGCGCTCACAATGGTTGGCTGGATACTTGGCTGGCCACGGGCGCATTGGGTGTCGGGACGTTCGCGCTCTTGTTCGTCGGCACTTTCATTCTCGCCTTTGACCGCCTGCGCAAAGGCGGCACAGAGACCTATTGGGTGATATTGTCGACGATTATGTTTCTTGGCTTTTCGATGTCAGAATCTACAATCTTGCAGCAGAATGATCTGTCTTGGGTGATGTTCGTCGCGACCTCAGCAAAGTTGTGGGCCTTTGAAAAACCATTCTGGCGGGATCGCGTGCGCCTACCATACTTCCTTGTGAAGCGGACGGACTACACAAAACTGCCCGCCTAAATGCCGTAAAATTTGGGTGACAGCCTATCGGACCAGAAAAGTTTTCCGACGCCTTGTGCCAGTCGGCCCAAATGGAAAACAGACTCAGGACGGTTCAAGAGTTTGGTAGCCCCGAACCTCACGCCGAAACTCACAATTTGCAACACGCCAACACTCATCCAAAACAAAACGAGTGGCCACCCAAGGATGCCTTTTACGGCCGCTTCATGCGTGGGGGCTTGTCCAAAAGCAAAATTTCGGCGCCATACATATCCCATCGTCGCACGTGCGGCGGGGACATGCTCCAACGTCACCGCAGCATTTGTCCAAGCGATATTTATGCGTTGCTGTTCCAACTCCCGGAACAAGAAATCATCCTCCCCGCCGGTTTGATTTAGATCCGTATTAAAAACGGGGTTGGGAAGGACTGCTTTCTCGCGGTCAATGAAACAATTACCTGTACCAAAGCCTTTCTTAATCAAACCATCTTCACCCGGGTTTTCGCGTGAGAACAACGGACGCATGGCATCATAGAACAAATCTGTTGAATCAGGCATCACAGCGTTGACAGGACCGAAAACTAAGGCGGCATCATATTTTTGCGCCGCGTCCACCATGGATTGCGCCCAAGGATGGGACGCTTCCATATCATCGTCCAAGAATAAGATATAACGTCCTTTGGCGGTGGCTAAGGCACTATTTCGCGCATTGCTAACGCCCGGCTGAGGAACATGAATGTAAACGATGTTTGACTCGGAGGAGAAAATTTTCTGCTCGACAAAAGATTTAGCGCTGGCCTTAGGGTCATTATCGGCAATTACGATTTCGATGTGTAAACCGTTCACGCGCTCGGGCTCCACACTCGCTAAAGCGCGCGCGAGCGCATCAGGCCGCTTGTAAGTGGGTATGATGATTGACAGACATGTCTGGTCATAAGTCATGTTTCCTGCCTCGTCTCTTTGAATGTTCG